AGAGTGCCTTCAACTACACCGACCGAGCACGGCTGCACGAGATTGTGGCCGACAAGGTCCCTGGCCTCTTGCGCGCCTTTGAACGACACTATGCTCGACCCACTACCCACTGCATTGTCGACAAGTTCTTCAAGGTGATTGACATTGATGTTGGCCAAGGCATTGTGCAGGGCAACGAGCTATCGCCCTTCTTCTTTGCCCTGTACTCCTGTGAGGTCCTCGGCCTCCTCGACGCCACCACTGACTATCGCTGCAAGGTCATCAAATACCTCGACGACATTGTACTGATGGGTCCCGCGGAGGACGTGGCGGCCGACGTCGAGATTGTTAAGGCTCGTGCAGAGTCTGCTGGCCTCCATCTGCAGCCCAGTAAGAGCCGCTTCTACATGCCTCGCCACCATCCCGCTTCCATCACTGCTATCAAGTCTGTATTGCCAGATGCCGTGCGCGAGACGGCCAACACGGGCATGACGGTCTTGGGAACGCCGATTGGCCGTCGCGAGTGGATGAAGAAGCAGCTGAACGACAAGGCAAAGCACATTGCTGGCAGGCTCAATGACATGCTGACGACCGGTGTCTCGCTTCAGGCCCTCCTCACGGCCATGCAGTACGTGCCTAGCCTCATCAACCACCTCTACACGCTGCCCCCAAGTCTCACGTCGGGCTTGTCCGAGCTCTTGAACCGTGCTTGCAAGGACACCTTTGTCAAAGCCTTTTTTGCCAAGGTAAACCTGTCTGCACCGTCTGGAGCTGAAGGTCATGACGTTACGCTGGAACAGCTCCTTGAGGCTCGCCTCTTCACACGGGCCAACACCGGGGGCTTTGGCCTGCACGACTTGGTTGAGCGCGGTCCGGTGGCTTATGTCTGCAACATGGCCAAGCTGGCCACTCGCTACCCTCGGGTCTACGATCGACTTTTGGAGGATGCATCGAGGGCTGACGACTTTGAGGCCCACGTGCAGCGAGCTGGCTTCCAGATGGCCACGGTCAAGGACGCGGCGACCCAGCGACCAGCTGAGATCATTGCCCTCCGCTCCAAGGCGGCACTTGACGACCTGATGGCCAAGTGCGCGCTGGACCTGCAGCAGGCATATCTGGCCTCACGCGAGTGGGGCGTCAGCACTGTCTTGACCATGCGGGGTCGAGACAAGTTGCGTCGCTTGAGCGACACGACCTTTGCCATTGCGGTTG